CAGTTGGCCGATACAGAAGTACGGTTCTCCACTCATCTAGAGCATCCTCCATGTCAAGAGACTCTTCTTGCAGCCGATCTAACCATAACTGGACAATTTTGTCTGATATTTGCTTTTGCTCAGCATCTTCAAGTAAAGCTTTGATGGATGTGAGATTGAATTTGAGCTTTCTCAGATCTTCCTTAACACCCTTCAGAAGTCTCACTTCCTCTAGTGCTCCTTCACAGATGATTGTTGTTATTTGCTCTAAGAGAGCGGAAACAAGTGCTTCTGCCATTTTTTTGCAGACAAGTTTGAGCAAATGAGATTGAAAAAGAAATGGCTATCGATGATGGGCCTTGCAATTGCTATTGAAGATGGGAATTTTCCGGGGTTGGTGGGACTTGTAGACTGCTCACCTAGTCAATTCCACAGGGGTTCACGTGGCGCAGGCCTGTGCGGTGGATTCAGGGACGGAGCCCATGAAGGATAAGGGTGGGCAGCCGCCCCCCTAAGCTTTTGAAAAACATTTAATATGGTACACTAACTTTTATTTGTTAAAAATTTTGTTTTTATATTTATAGTATGAGTTTTAAGAATCATTTCAAATGTAGAGAAAATATTTAGAATTTAAATAAATTTTTTTTAAAAATAAGGATATAATTCAAGTAAAATGAATTTATGTCAATTAATTAATTAAGAATTAAGATTTGTAAACACTTTTTCATCTGTTAAGTTCAAAAAACTTTAATTATCTATTTAAACAGCTTTAAATTTATAGTTTTCTTTAGTATTCTTTTATTTTCTTTCTTGTTATTTTATGTAATAATTAAAAATTTTTACCTTTCAGTGCTAAGGTGCATTTTTTCCTTTTATGATTGAATTTATAATCTTTTTTTTTTTGTTAAATCAATTTAGGTTAGAGTTTATTTTCTAAAAGAAATATTTTAGTATTTTTTTTATAATATTAGTGTTTATCAATATAACCTTTAAAAATTTAAGAGGAAAACAGTCTAAAATTGCATTGTTTAAATAAAATCAAAATACTCTCATTTCTACTTTAAAAATGTATTATTTTTGCATTTTTCAATGCAAGTTTATTAAAACAATTTAATTTTATAATGTTTTTCCTCACAATTTATTAAAAATTCAGCTAACAAACATATTTCTCTCTCTCATTTTTTTTTATATTCATTCTTCAATTGATCACTACATAATTTATTACTATAATGTTTTTGTTTTTATTATAATTAAAAAATACATTTATTTCTAATTTTCACTAAAAATATATCAATAAAAAAAACAAAAAATAATTATTTTATAAGGCAGAAAATTTTTTAAAAATAATTTAATGTCATAAAAAATGCTCTTAAAGACTAAAATCTTCAACAATAAAATTCGCCCCCACTAACTGAATTTCTTGGCTCTGTCCCTGCGGGGATTTCACTCTACTTTAGCGTTAAGTAGACTTGTACTCCTGGGTCAACACCACGGAAAACGAATCCTATGCATGGGAAAATCCTAGCAGTGTGTCTATCACACTAAGATGGTAATTTACTTCGAAATCGGCAGAATTTTACAGAAATTTACATTGTGGTTATAGAAATTTAGAGAATATTTTGCTTTATAGGTGAAAATGAAAATAATTTTTTTAAAACTTTTACAGCAAATTTTCTTCACTTCATATGTCTCTTACATAAATCTGTATATAATAAAAAATATAAATTTATTTATATATTTTTATAAATATATTATCAATTAATTATTATTTACCTAATTAATTAGTCCAACCTAAATTACCTAACCCAATTCTGTTTTTAGTCTTCCTCATCAAATTTCTTCTCTTTTATGCTTTTTTTTATGGACTTGCTGCAGGACGCTTGGACTGTTGTAGATCAATATGCATTCTGGACATTACCTTCTTTTTTTTTTTCTTTTTTTTCTTTTTTTTGTTGTTGTTGTTGTGGTAGGCATTTGCTGGACATTATTGGACTGTTGTATGAAGTTGTCGGATTGTATGCATTTAATAGAAATATGTATGTACAATGTATTTGTTTATTGGAGTTATTTTAAATTTTTATTTTTTTATTTTTTTATCTAATATTTTTCTATGGTGTTTGTGAAATTTTTTTGTATATTTTTACTTTTATAAGTTTTTATTTTTATACTCTATAAATTACTTCTTATATAATATTATAAAATTTATTTATAAAAAAATTAAATTTAAATTTTATATTTTTAATATTTGATGAAACTCTATCTATCCACAGTAACCCACCATTCTCTATAACAATGGAATTGGAGGATATTTTTTGGCTTTACTAAAAATTTTATTAGAAATCCTTACTTCTGCCATTATTATTAACGGGAATGCGACAAGGAGGATATACCCACCCTTAGGTAGCTGTTGCCATCCTTAATTACACGCTCTCTCTTAATTTAGTGAAGAATTCAATTTTACCTTAATTAAGAGAAAATGCTTCTACTAAATTACCAAAAAAAAAGAAAAAAGAAAAAAGGGCATAAGACATGTTAGAGGCAACTAAGCAGCTAAAATACAAAAATAATGAAACTTTCAGGGCATGCAATATAATAAGTAGTAAAAACTACTTTTTCTCACTTAATTTGACTTTTTAAGCTTCTAAATAAAAATTTAATAGTTTATATTTATAAAAATTGAATTGGTATTTCTAAATATAATTTTTAAGTATTTTTATTTAATAAAAAATTTATTATTTATATAATAAAAAATATATATCAGTCATAACTGTTAAAATAAATTAAAATTTTAATTTTTAAATACATTTTAAAATTTTAAATTTTGTAAGAGTGAGGAATGTCACAATTTTTTAAAGTAAAGAATGTCAAAAATTATGCTAAATTTTTATTTAAAATTTATATTTAAAAGGTAGGAGCATTAAAAAGGTTAAATACTAAATTTGGTCCCTCAACTTTAGTGAGTTGCACATTTTTGGTCCCTCAACAATTTTTTGCATTTTTTTGATCCCTCAACTATACAAAATGCACTCCGTTAATCCTTCTGTCAATTTGGGCCGTTAATTCGGCCACATGTCATTTTTTATATTTTTTTTGATGACATGGCGATCACAACTTAAAAAGATGCTTATCTGGACTTTCTTTTTTGATGACATGTCATCTTCTTCACGCCAAACCCCTCCAATGAATTCCAGTCACTTGCAAACTGATTTCTCATCTTCATCCTCTGCAAAATCGATCTTAACCCATTTCTTCTTATTCTCTGAATGCGCTCTCATCTCCACTCCATTTACAGAACCGGTCTTAACCCACCCATTTCTTCTTCTTCTCTTTTTTCGGGGAAACTTGAGCTATTGAGCTACTAGGTTTCATTGAAACCTCAAACCTTACAGATCTTACCAAATCAAAATAACCCTTCAATAAACAATACCAATCAAATTCAAATCAAATTTCAACAAAAATATAATCAAACTTTAATTAAATTTCAACAAAAATGCGATCAAATTATAAATCAATCTCCAAATATATTAACAACTGCAAATGGAAATCGAAAGAAGAACGAAAAAACAAGAACCAAGCTTTCCCAGCAAAGCTGGGTTCGGTTGAAACCCAGCCTTGCTTGGTTCCGGTGAACCCAGCCTTGGCTGGTCGCGAACCCAGCAAGGCTGGGTTTCCACCGAACCCAGCCTTGCTGGGTTTCAACCGAACCCAGCCTTGCTTGGTTCGATGAAACCCAGCCTTGGCTGGTTGACGAACCCAGCAAGGCTGGGTTTCCACCAAACCCGAAAGAAAGAAAGAGAGAAAAAGAAGGGGAAGAAGAGGGATTGGGAGGGTGAGGGTGAGGGTGAGGATGAGGGTAATAAAGTAATTTTATATGTTTTTAATTAAAATATGTATATTAATCTATATGTGGTATTTTTATTTATTTATATAATATAATTATAATATATATTAGTGCCACATCATCAAAAAAATTTAAAAAACAATGCAACGTAAAATTATGTAACTGCCAAATCATACTTAATTGACGGAGGGACCAAAACTGTACAATTTTTAAAGTTAAGGGATCAAAAAAATGAAAAAAATTGTTAAGGGACCAAAAATGTTCATTTTGTAAAGTTGAGGGACTAAATTTAGCATTTAACCTTAAACGAATGGAGGGAATGTTTCTTACCGTTCAACCCCGCCTGAATCTCTATAATTTCCATCGATGGCGATGGCAGTTTCTCGCCCAAACCCTTATCCGACAAACAGAATTCCACTCCCCACCTTAAACCAGAGAATACGTTGCAGTTTCTTCATCAAATACACACGGCCAAGCTTCGGAGCTCCCAGCTCAGCATTTTGGCAGCCAAACACCGGGATCAATTGCAATAAGATAAGTTCCATCGCCTCAATTTTGC